CAACTCTAGAGGCCCGTCTGGCTCGCTGCTTACTATCTGTGTACAAAAACTAAACGCCATCTGTGTGTGTGTGTGTCATCGAGGCCTTTGTGATCAGAAATGATAGGCGCTCATCAGTCAAACTGCTGTTGCAGCAGACTGGGGGATTTGCTTCTCACACAATGTTGGACTTGAGTTAATCAATCTGTCAGTTGTTGTGCTCGACTACATGCATGACGAGTGCGGGCCACGGTTTGGATTTATTGAGCGAAGGGGGGCTTTTCACTGAAGGATGGGATCCATCTAGTCTGAATGCTTCAGCAGCTTCGCCGACATGCGGAGACACCGAAGTGGGAAAATCACACCACCCACCCGCTCAGCGCTGGTGAATTTTTGTGTTGGTGAGGGTGCTTTGAAATGGGGTTTGTATGAGGTACGTATTACATGTCCGTATTACATGTCCGTATTACAGTATTACAAGTATTACAATACTTATACTGTGTTACCTACAGCAGATGGGGGCTTTGAGATGCAGACAGGTAATACGACACGGGAGCAAAGCAACGTGCTGCTGTGGACGGGGACGTCAGCAAAATGTATTCTAGCAACCAAAAAGAAAGGACCATCAAAAATACGAATAATATTTGTGAAGCCTGATCTTTATCTGCAACTGTGCAAAAACACCACTTAAAACAAAATGCAGACATGCAAAAAACAGCTTTTAAATGTTGACTTACAATTTGAATGTCAACATTATGAATGTAGCTTTGAAGCTTCAAACTATTCAGTACAGCTGGAGAAGAAGAGCTTCATATTCTGTTCACTGATTAGGAGGGAACTCCGTTTACTGTTTGTCGCTGTCCACTGACGGGGGGGTGCTGAATCCACCTGCATAGAGTGGTGCAAGGACGACATACTAACCCAGAAGTTAGCATCGCACTGGGTCCCTCGAGGAAAAGACAATGGGATATTCCCATTGTCAAAAATGACAACTGTAACTAAAATAATCATTAGTCACAGCTCTGACGCAGATTGTTTGATTTGTTACTTCATGCCTGGCTCGAAAAGCATCGTTTCTCTGCCCTCTGACTGAAGGTTTCAACTCTGTTGCATCTCACACCACAACACTGATGTCACGATGTACTGACACACCCTGGAGCACACTCCTACATCACTGCTGGAGTGGAGCAGGATTGTCAGCTGTCAGAGCTCCCCAGGGTCGCACTTCCATAGAGTTGAGCTACACGTTGGCCTGTCACAATAACTACTTCTGTTGGACGCTTTATTGTCACAGAAATGATTCCAATAAACGTTATTATTGTTATTTTAAGTTTCATGCTACTGACAGCATAATATAATAACAATGGAAGTACAAACTTTAATAGAGCAATGGAACGTTTTATTCAGAATATTCAGACTTGGGAATTGAAAGTATTGAAATATCCTGAATGAATGAAATAAAGCCACACAACCAAAACAATAGATACAATGGGTACTTGGGTAAATATTAAACATTTGGCTCAGGGATTCCTCAACAGGCAATACCCTGCCAATCCGTTTCTCAATGGTTAGAATCTTTATTCATAAAAATGCAAATCAACAACCTATTAGCTACAAGTTAGATATAAGTAACAACAACACTTCTATCTCATTCGGCTTCGGAAACCCCAGATGTTCCCACACTGGAGCTGTGGACAATAAGTCGATAACATAAAAAATGATTGAGATCGTCTCCATATATTGTCCAATAAATCCATATCGTAATTATTCTGACAGGCCTATGTACGCACAGGGACAGATTACAAAGAGCAACGTACAACTCGTCTTTTAGTCCCGAACTATGGCTCCAAACATTCTAAATACTACATTTCCTCCACACCTCCAGTGTGTAGCGTGGGGTTTCTGTTACACACAAGTAGCCTCGAAACATAGAAAACAATATTTTCTCAATATATTGTCTCAACCCCAGAGGTGTTGAGACATCTCTTCACTGACATTCCTGCCGCCAACTCAATACAATGCATGAGACTTGTCACTCAAGAAAGGCTACTCTGCAGACCTGCCTGGGAAACACTTGGAGGTACTTTTGCTATAGAAATAGTACCTATCCAGAGTAATGAGGACATAGTGTTGGGTAAGTAGACACTGTATAAAAACTGTTGCTTGTAGACTGCAAATAACAAACCACGGCTGCTCGAACACTTATAGTGGAAACTAGTTTGCTCCTCTCTTTTGTGAGCGGTGACTTTAATATTGTTCTATCACAGGTCACTGTAAGCTGTGCTAAAACCTCTCTCCATACGGACACACACTCTCCTAAGAGCTGAGACATAAGTAATGGCCTGTGACTCACAACTCCTTTAATGCAACCATGAAAGAAATGTCGCTCCAGTTTGTCACTGCGCGCCCCTTCCATCCATTTTCTATAATTCCTCCTGTTCATGGCCACGTGCAGCAGACCTTATACATTGTGTTAAGAATAAGAACAGCACTTGATGATTCATAACTCTTAACAGTAGAGCTTTTCTCTCTTGGAGGGAGCATTCATACATGTCTCCTCTTCCTAGTATGTATTATCTGGATGTGCGTGCTTTTGTAAACTTGTTTTCATGGTGCCATCATTTCAAAAGAACAATTAATTTTTGTCCAGATGGTGGCTTCATCCTTTTGGAAGGAAACATCTTCCCGGGCTCTGATCTCAGAAATGGCTGAGGTCATTACGAGGCTGACTTCTTCTGTCGAGTCATTATCGGGCTTTTATCTTTGACCGACATGAAACAACAACAACAGCTCGGTCTCCTGCAGCAGCTGGCTGCTTTCAGGTCAGTCAAAGCACAATTCAGTCCAAAGTCTTTGTTCTTCAGCTCATTATTTGTCTCATGAAAGATCTACAGGAGTTAGTTTTACAGTAAAAGAATAGCTTAAAAAAAGCACAACTTATTCCTAAACCTACGGACGTTCATAGAATATATATTGATATCATACTGTGTTTTCAGTATTACTGTATATTAGTGATAGTTTGGGGGTGACTGGTGCTTTACGAAATGAAACTAAGTCGATTCATCGATTTGTCAAGAGACTGAAAATTAAGAAGCAACAATGTTGATTTTTCATTAATTGTTGGACTTATGTATTTGACAAACATTAGCTGGTTCCAACTTTTCATATATGAGAATTTGCAGCTTTTCTTTGTTTGATACAACTAAATCATTGTTGATCAGACAAAACAACAATTTAATTTTGAATCAAATAATCCAGAATATAATCGATAGAACAATCATTAGTTGCAACTTGAAATGCTTTTTTATACACAAGAAACTTGAAACTGATCACTATTAGTGTGGATGGTTTGATGTATCCATCAGTCTGCTGATTCATTCACTGATGCTTTGGTTAAAACACCATTAAAAACCATTTTAAAAAGCTATTACAAATTCACAAAGTGAAAGTTGAGGTGCTCAAATAGATGATTTTGTCCAGCCAACAGTCAAAATCCCCAAAAGATTTATTTCCAAAAAACTCAATTTCAGTCTCAGCTTTTAAGCCAACGTTGACAAAACTATGATACAAAACTATGATACAACAGCTATGATACAAAACTATGATACAACAGCTATGATACAACAGCTATGATACAACACTATGATACAACACTATGATACAAAACTATGATACAACAGCTATGATACAACATATGAT